TCCTTCTCTCCTTTAATTGATTTATTGAGATACGGTTGTCATACAGAAAGCTATGGGTTTCAGCTGTTGACATATGGTTTCCTGTAGATTGATAGTTTCTAATTTTATCACCAAGGACCCCTTTTTAATTTTTCTACAGTCTACTCAGGTTTAGTTTTTGTTATTGTGTGTGTGTGTGTTTTGCCTCTGTTAAACAGCATTTATTTGTCTATCAAACTTAGTTTAAGTATTTTTTTCACTGTTTTTTTTTTTTTTTTTTCTGAGACAGTCTTAATCTGTCACTCCAGATAGAGTATAGTGGCACCCAACACCAGGCGGGCTAATTTTCCCACTTTTTAGTGGAGATAGGGTCTTGCTGGTCTTGAACTCCTAAGCTTAAGCAGTCTGCCCACTTCAGTCTCCCAGAGTGCTAGGATCCCTCCCACCCTCCCTCCTTCTTTCTTTTTTTCTCTCTCTCTCTCTTCTTTCTTTTCTTTTCTTTCTTTTTTTCTTTTTTTTGAGACAGAGTTTTAAGCTGTCACCCTGGGTAGAGTGCTGTAGCGTCACAGCTCAGAGCAACTTCAAACTCTTGGGCTTCAGTGACTCTTGCCTCAGGCTCCCTCCCAAGTAGCTGGAACTACAGGTACCTGCCACAATGCCCAACTACTTTTTTGTTGTAGTTGTCATTGTTTGGTAGGCCCAGGCTGGGTTCGAACCCACCAGCCGTGGTGTATATGGCTGGCACTCTAGCTGCTGAGCTATAAGCCACCAAGTCTTCTCTTTCCTCCCCTCCCCTCCCTAGCAATCTGCCCACCTCAGTGGTCTCAGTCTCCGAGTACTAGGATTCCTCCCTCCCTCCTCTCCCCTCCCTCCTCCCTTCCCCTCCCCTCTTCTCTTTCTTTTTTGAAACCTGGAACCACACATACTGTATCCTCTCCCTCTTGCTCCCCCAAAGGGAGAGAAGAATGATCATCAATGGCAAATGGCAGTTGCAGTCAAGCAACTAATAGCCAGTTTCACACTCACAAGAGAACACTGCCTTCTCTTGGCTTCTGGTGCTCACTTACTCAGAGAAACTTCTGAACTGTAGAAATGATCTCTGAAAGTATAGTCTTCTGTATAGCTTTTTTTATGTGATAAACATAGAATTGTAGGTTGCTGAAAAGATTCAGAGTTGTTTCTGCATACCCTCAGAGACTCCTCATCCCCCCTGTGGCTCAGTGAGTAGGGCGCCGGCCCCATATACCGAGGGTGGCAGGTTCAAACCTGGCCCTGGCTGAACTGCAACCAAAAAATAGCTGGCTGAGGCAAGAGAATCCCTTAAGCCCAGGAGTTGGAGGTTGCTGTGAGCTGTGTGATGCCACGGCCCTCTACCAAGGGCATCAAAGAGAGACTCTTGTCTCTACCAAAAAAAAAAAAAAAAAAAAAAGAATAATCGTAGATCATCTTATTGAGTAGGATATATAAAGCTGTTAACAATAAAGATTTTTTTCATTGACATCTTCCTAGCATATATTTTCCTTTTGATTCTGCAAGTGTAGAGTACCATATCCTGTTACACATGCTCCTTAACTTAGAAGGTTAAGTCCCAATAAACCTATGGTGAGTTGAGGATATCATAAGTTGCAAATGCATTTAATGACTCAGCGCCTGCGGCTCAGGTGGCTAAGGTACCAGCCACATACACCTAAGGTGGTGGGTTCGAATCCAGCCCGGGCCCACCAAACAATAATCATGGCTGCAACCAAAAAAAATAGCCAGACGTCGTGGTGGGCGCCTGTGGTCCCATCTACTTGGGAGGTGGAGGCAGGAGACTCCCTTGAGCCCAGGAGTTGGAGGTTGCTGTGAGTGTGAGTTGTGAGGCCACGGCACTCTACCCAGGGAGATAGGCTCTGTCTCGAAAAAAAAAAAAGGAGGAAAATGCATTTAATATACTTGATCTGCTTAGCCTACGTTGACTGTGCTCAGATCACTTACATAAGCCTACAGTTGGGCAAAATCATCTGTCACAAAGCTTATTTTTTAATAGCATTGAATAGCTCATGAAATTTATTGAATTACAAATTCAATATAGGATAACGTACCAAAAGTGAAAAACAAAGTGATTGTATGGGTACTTGAAGTACAGTTTCTACTGAATGCATATTGCTTTCTTACCACTTCTCTAATAATTTCTGTTGGAAAGTTAGATGTTCTTGTGCCTTCCTCTGTCACTTTTACACAGATGGCAAAATTATTTAAATAAACTTATTATTTAAATATTTATCAGTATCCCTGACTTCTTTTGTAGGTTCCTCCTTATTCTTTTTGATTTCCTAAGATTTCTACTTTTATATTCATCTACCATTCCACAATTCTGTTTAATTTATTTGATTTCAGAAAAGAACTAGACAGGAACTGATCTGGATTTGTCAGATTTTTTACTTCGCCAAGCTGTGATAGGTGAAAAAACAACCAAATTCAGCGTGTACTATATATTTCATCATTTCATATGGAAAAGAATATTTTTTGCACCTGCAAGAATTCCAAGCATAATCAAAACAAATTTAAATATAAAAGTTCAGGAAGACCATAATCTTGGAATTTAAATATATGTAGCTTTAAAAGTAATGAATATGGCTCGGTCTGTAACTCGGTGGCTAGGGCACCAGCCACATACACTGGAGCTGGCGGGCCTGAACCCAGCCTGGGCCTGGCAAACAACAATGACAACAAAAAAATAGTCAAGCATTGTTGGGGGGGGGGGGGGTGTAGTCCCAGCTGCCCAGCTGCTTGGGAGCCTGAAGCAGGAGAATCACTTAAGCCCAAGAGTTTGAGGTTGCTGTGAGCTGTGATGCTATGGCACTGTACTGAGGGTGACATAATGAGACTCTGTCTCAAAAAAAAAAAAAAAAAATGAATACTTCATTATCTTTTGCTTCTTGCTTTTGATTAGTGAAAACTTCATCACACAGTGAAACACTGTTTTAGAGTAAGCTTTATACTATCTTGATATTGATCTTCTCCAGATTTGACTTTGATCATGTTTTTCACCACTTAAAATGGCTCACCACTGCCTTTCTGAAAAAGTGTTAATATCTTAGACCTTTATACACATAGTTCGACTCTTCTTTTCCTTTCTAGTCTTTTCACTCATCACATTTCTGTTACTAACTTTTTAAGTTCAGATTAATAACAACTTATTTTTAAAATAGTGATTTTTGGCTCGGTGCCTATAGCTTAGCAGCAAGGGTGCCAGCCACATACACCGGAGCTGGAGGGTTTGAACCCAGCCAAACAACAATGACGGCTACAATCAAAAAGTAGCTGGGTGTTGTGGCTGGTGCCTGTAGTCTCAGCTACTTGGGAGGCAAGAGAATCGCGTAAGCTCAAGAGTTTGAGGTGCTGTGAGTTATGATGTCACTGCACCTTACTGAGGGCAACATAGTGAGACTCTGTTTCAACAAAAAAAAAATAAAAATAAAATAGTGGTGTTTGTAGTAAGGATCTGATTAATACAGATTCAAATCTGGCTCTGTCATGAGCTGTGTAGTCTTGGGCAAGTTACTGTAATGAGGAAAAAAAGCTGTTCCTGGCATCCTGGAATTGCCCTGGTACTGCTTTCAGCTAGGCCTTGATATTGCTGTGAGCTAGCCTGGCACTTAACAGCTAGGTCTTATTGGTGTTCTATTGAATACAAGTGATTAACTTAACATCAGCATCAGACAAGGCCATTTTGTGAACTGATTAATCAAGATAAAAATAAGACCATGCCATGATTCTATCTGAACACAGATAAAACACCTCCTCCAGGTTAATTTGAGTGATTGCGGTCGCTTTACCAATTACAGCTTTAGCCTTCTAGTCTGTCCCCTTCTAGAGAAGATTTATTGTTAGAACTGATTGGGTACTTAGGACTCTCCTTAAAAATCACCTAGTCAAATACCATTTCTAATATCTTCAATTGCCCATGGTGTGTATTCCTAGTAAACTCAATTTGCTCGACTACAGGTGTGCTTCTGGTACATGGGTGGCAAACATTGATATTAACTATAAGCCATTGTTTTCTCATGTGAAAACTAGGAGTAATAATTTCTTTTTTTTCAGAATTATTATAGATACAAAATGGGAAAACTTAAAGCACCCAGCAAAGTCCTTGCATTTAGTAGATGCTCAACAAATGCTTGTTTCTTAATCTTTAGATAAGTATTCTGATTCTGTCTTGGTCCTCTGAACAAGGTTCAAAAAGTCCTTACTTTAACTCTTTCTTACACATGGGGTGTTCTGTTCTCATCCTTCAAGACTTAGTTCACAATATTTTCTCTTATATGAAACCTTTATATTTTCTACTGATCTCTCCTGTCTTTGAACTTAAGGTATTTATTGTTTTTTGTTTTTATGTATTTATTTATTTTTCGAGACAGGGTCTTGCTCTGTTGCTCAGGCTGGACTGCAGTGATGTTATCATAGCTCACTACAGCTTTAAACCCTATGGCTCAAGTAATCATCCTGCTTTAGCCTCTCTGGTAGCTGGCACTACAGGCATTCCCTGCCACCCCCGGCTAATATATTTTGTTAGTGGAGACAGGGTCACAGCATATTACCCAGGCTAGTCTTGAGCACCTGATATCAAGAGATCTCTTGTTTAGGTCTCCCAAAGCACTAGGACTACAGGCATATACCCAGCCAGCATTTATTGTTTTTACCATTGACTTTGTTAATAACTGTGTGGCATCTTGGTAGTTACATTTTGATATTTAATCCTTAAGTTTTCATATACTTATGCCTTGTTCATTTAAATTGTTATTTAAGAATGGGGCTATGTGTAAAGAGGGCCTTGGAAATCAGCCAATTACTTTTAGGTGCTAATTTCTTCAAATTTGTCATCTTGAGTATCTTGTACTCAAAAGATGCTTAAAAATGATTGATGCAAAAGGAAGAATGTATTACCAAATTTCACCTCTCCTAAACATGGTTGGTATTGTGAATTCCCATCCTAAAACATGTGTTTTGTTCACAGTGTTTTACATCTTCTTTTTTAGACAGTACAATGGTGGGGGAAGAGAAGATGTCTCTAAGAAACCGCCTATCAAAGTCTTGTGAAAATCCTGAGGAAGATGAAGACCAGAGAAACCCTACAGAGGAGTCCTTACAGAGACCTAGTAATGGTAAGACTTGTACTTTTTTTGAGGTAAATTAATGGTATAGAGAACAAATTCAGTATTCTAGACAGAATTTGTTTATTGTAACTGGGTATTCATAGAATTTTACATAGCTGGTAATAAATTAGAAAATAAGTCCTTATTAGTTCAGTAAACATCTATTGAGTATCTGCTGTGCTTTATGCACCATTCATTCAGTCACTTAGCCTACCAATACTTGTCTCCTGTTGTAGGCTGGGGCTATAGCTACAGATTAGTACAGATGTGTTTGCCATTATCAAACTCCATGTTAAGTGAATGGCAAAACTTCCAAAATTATACATGTAATTAGATTATTACAAATACATATAATCTCATAATTAATTGTTCTCATAATTATATAATAAGTAAAATGCAAGTAATTAGCTGAGAACCTAATCTGAGTACTGAACTATAATCTTGGGAAAGGGAAAGATTAGGGAGTTTTGTTAGCTTTTATATCTAACTTATATGTTAGCTTTTATATATAGTTTCCTTAATGCCTGGATACAAAGAACAGTACAGTGCAGTGCTTACTAAGGAAAAGGTTTGTGATTGTGGATGAGAGACTTGTAAACACACTAATTGATGTCATCTGTTGCATCAGGGTATTTATTTCTGCAGTGACATTTGTATAGGTTTGATTTTAACAAGGATTTAAAAACCTGAGACTTGTTTGGTTAACAAATATGGGTGGAACTTTCTGAGACATGTTGTCTTAGACAAGTTGACTTTTTCCATAAACGTTGTTGTGTTTTAACTTTTAAAACTTAATTGTAAATATCAACAGTCCACTAGGAACATAAATTTTTTTTTTTTGAGATAGAGTCTTACTTTGTTGCCCTCGGTAGAGTGCTGTGGCATCACAGCTCACAGCAATATCAAACTCTTGGGCTTAAATGATTCTTTTGCCTCAGCCTCCCAAGTAGCTGGGACTACAGGCGCTCACCACATCACTCAGCTGCTCAGCTTTTTTTTTTTTTTTTTAAGGAGATGACGCCTTGCACTGGCTCAGGCTGGTCTTGAACCAGCAAGCTCAGGCAATCCATCTGCCGTGGCCTCTCAGAGTGCTAGGATTACAGGTGTGAGTCACAGCGCCTGGCTAGGACTGTAAATATTTTTGATAAGTTGGCATAATTTAGTTTATTAATGTGCTCATAATTAGCTGTATATGACATACTTAGTATGGCATATGGGCTAGTGTTAGTGTGATATAAAATGTGACATTTATGCAAAGTGGGATGAGCCAACATGGAGAGACATTCTCCTATGAATTAGGGACTTTATAACCCAGGTTGTCTCCCTTGTCATTCCCACACATTAGAAACTTCATGTTTGTTTTTTTCCTTCCAATTCTTGGAGACAGAAAGATTACTTTAATTGAAATTTTTTGTCAGATATGATTGCTCTCTTTACATCCCAATTTTAAAAAATTTTAACTTTAATATTTGTGTATTTCAGTACTCCTTATTGTCTTAGTTCACTAAGATTTAATCATTTCATTTTTTTAGTGCAGATGGTAAAAACTAAATTGTTTATGATTGGGCACAGTGGCTTATGTTTGTAATTCTGGCTTTCTGGGAGGCTGAGGTGGGAGGATTGCTTGAGTTCAGGAGCAGCCTAGGCAACATAGTGAGAACTTGTCTCTACAAAAAATTAAAAAAAAATTATTTTTTAACCCGTCTATAAAAAATTAAAAAAAAATAACCAATAAGGTGGTCTGTGCCTATAGTCCTAGCTGCTCTTAGTCTTAGCTGTTCAGGAGGCTAAGGCAAGAGGATTGCTCAAACCCCCAGGAACTTAAGGTTGGAGTGAGCTCTGATACTACTATTACATTCTAGCCCAGGCAACAGAAGAGAGCCTGTCTTAAAAATATATATATTTTTTGAATTATTGGCTTAAATCAAGAAGTATAACAGCCTCCTTGTTTTAAGTAAATAATGCTTGTGTTTTACCTTTTTCAAACATCAGAATATTAGAGGGGTATACACATTTTGGTTACATGATTTGTTTTGTACATTTCAGGCCAAAGTTTATAAGTGTGCCCTTCATCTGCAATGTTTTTTTTTTTTTCACCTGGAATGTTTTATATATTTTAACATTAGTTCACTTTGGGGAACAAATGGATGAGTAAAATGTGGTCTTCAAGTAACAAAGGCTTGAAGGATTCCAGACCAGTAAGGTATTGTCCACCAACCAAGCAGGAGCACCTGAAGGGGGCTTGTTAGAAATGCCCCCCTCACATTTATTAAATAAAAATTGTATTTTAGGGCAGCACCTGTGGCTCAGTGAGTAGAGTGCTGGCCCCATATACTGAGGGTGGCGAGGTCAAGCCCAGCCCCCGGCCAAACTGCAACAACAAATAGCCGGGCATTGTGGTGGGTGTCTGTAGTCCCAGCTACTCAGGAGGCTGAGACAAGAGAATTACCTAAGCCTAGGAGTTGGAGGTTTCTGTGAGCTATGATGCCATGGCACTCTACTGAGTGCAATAAAGTGAGACTCTGTCTCTAAAAGAAAAAAAAATTATTATTTTTTAGAGACAGTGTCTCACTTTATCACCTTCAGTGGAGTGCCATGGCGTCACACAGTTCACAACAACCTCCAAGGCTTAGGTGATTCTCTTGCCTTAGCCTCCCGAGTAGCTGGGACTACAGGTGCCCACCACAACGCCTGGCTATTTTTTTGTTTGCAGTTTGGCCGGGGCCGATTTGAACCCACCACCCTCGGTATATGGGGCCATCGCCCTACTCACTGAGCCACAGGTGCTGCCCTAAAAATTGTATTTTAATAAGGTCCTCAGGTGATTGGAATGTAGGTTGGAGTTTGATACACAGCTCTTGGTGTGGTAGTTCCCTCTCAATTAGGTCCTGCATCCTGTATGAGAAAATAAATCATTATACAATCAAAAGAACAAAGCAGCTTCTTGAACCCCACTTGGTGTGTTTTTTTTTTTTTTTTTGAGACAGAGTCTCATTATGTCACCCTTGGTAGAGTGCGGTGGCGTCACAGCTCACAGCAACCTCAAACTCTTGAGCTTAAGTGATTCTGTTGCCTCAGCCTCCCGAGTAGCTGGGACTACAGGCGCCCACCACAAAGCCTGGTTTTTTTTTTTTTTTTTTTTTTTTTTGAGACAGAGCCTCAAGCTGTCTCCCTGTGTAGAGTGCTATGGTGTCACAGCTCACAGCAACCTCCAACTCCTGGGCTCAAGTGATTCTCCTGCCTCCTCCTCCCAAGTAGCTGGGACTACAGGTGCTTGCCACAATGCCCAGCTGTTTTTTGGTTGCAGTTGTCATTGTTGTTTGGTGGGCCCAGGCTGGATTCAGACCCTCCCGCTCAGGTGTATGTAGCTGGTGCCTTAGCTGCTTAAGTCACAGGTACTGAGCTGCCTGGCTATTTTTTGGTTACAGTTGTCATTGTCGTTTAGCAGGCCTGGGCCAGGCTCAAACCCCAACACCTTCGGTGTATGTGGCCCGTGCCCTTCTCACTGGGTGCCGAGCCATTTTTTTTTTCTTTTTTCTTTTTTTGAGACAGTCTCCCTCTGTCACCCAGGCTCTCCCTCTGTCACCCAGGCTCTCCCTCTGTCACCCAGGCAGTGGCATATATGATCATAGTTCATTGCAGCTTCCAACTCCCAGTCTCAAGTGATCCTCCTCAGTCTCCTGAGTAGCTGGTATTACAGATGCTTATTTAAAAAAAATTTTTGTAGAACCACGGTGCCAGGCTTTGAACCTCATTATAGATGTACTGAATCAGAATCTCTAGGGGGAGGGCCCAGGGTTGTGAAGTTTGAAAACACTTGTTGGATAATACTGATTGGGATTGGTGGTCAAAAGTTACCCCTATCAAGAACTTTGAAACCCATCTTGAAACTTAATCTGTATAATTCTTGCATTCTTATTCATAATCATAGTAATTTATGGGTAGAGTTTACGTGTTGCCCAGTTTAGTCCCAGTTTTCACCTGTGTCCAGTGTAATGTTTTATTGTGCCTCCTTTCATTCTCAGAGGTGTGCCAGTTTTATTAAATTATATGATCACCCAATCTTTGGGTTAATTGTGACTGCCATGGTGATTTGTGCAGTATTTAGCTTTACATGTTCACAAGGTATCTCTGGTTTATCCACTGCCAATTAAGTGAAATTATGATTCCTTGGCTTTCTTATATTTTGTGGCAATTATTTGAAGTAATATTGGTTCTGAAGATGACAATTTTTGTTGAAAGTAAAGTGTTGTCATTACTTGATTTTAAAAGCAATAAATGCTCATCAACAGTTTTTATTGTAGTATGATGTACATTAAGTTTTTAATTAATTCAAAGTATGCTGAAAAGGATTTTAAAAAAAAGTGAAAATGACCCAAAATTCTATGATTAATGAATATAAGTCTTCCAGATATAATTAATTCACATAAATATGTAATATTTTACATAAATAGGATATTTTACCTGTTTAGTAACTTGGACCTCAACAATGTACCAAAGACATCTTTCTATTGTCAAGTAACAGATGAGTGGCTAGAGTTGTATTTTATACATATTATATGCAATTTACTTGTTTCTGAGAATATATCGGTTGTTTCTGTTTCTTCTCCTGTAAATAGACCATGGTGATCATGTTTACATGTTTGTCAGATGCCTAAGAATTGCAGAGTCAAGGGTGTTATTTTAAAATATTTATTTTGATATGTAGTACCAGATAGCAACATTTATCTTGATACTTGTTTATATAAATCTACCCTGCTGTGTTTTGTTGTTGCTTATGCCTGTTTAAATTTTTCAGATCTTGTTTTTTTCTTCCTTACTGCCTGTTTTCATGACTATTAATGTGCCTAAGCTGTTGTTTCTGCTTTTACTTCCTGATTTGTATCTCTAGTAATTTTCTGTAGAATGGTTTATTTCTAGGAGAAGGAAGTAGAAATGAGGATCCTGCATAAATTATCAGGAAAAGCTAAAAATTGGAGTCTGATTTAGATCCACTATTCTGCCATTTA